ATAATCCAAAAAATATGGTAACTTCTACCTTCCTTTAGCATGTCCAGAAGTCCAGCTTTTTGTGCGATGGTTAGCATCTTCCTCTGCCTTTTGGGTGCTACTGCAGGTGCCTTTCATGGTGCAAATCGCTTGGTCGACATTGTTGTGTTTGTTTGGGAGAAAACTTACAAGCATACAGCACAGCACTTCAGAGTCACACTGCTAGAGATCGAAGATTTATGTAAATTTGACAAGCTGAACGCATTCTGTACTGTGCAGGAGACACAGCAAGGAGGAGATTGATTGGCAATGGTCTACAGCCAATTAGGACGCGGAACACAATGCGTTGTAAAAAGAAAAAAGCGTGCAAAATTGCACACAAAAACTCTGCGAAACAGCGAAGCTGCGAAAGGTGAAGCGCGTTATAGCAAGGGACCATTTATTTTGAGCCTGTCTTGTTCTTCAGCTTTAGTAAGCAAAACCATCTGATCTGAAAAGACTGTTGTTCCAAATACATGCCAACAGGCACTCTATAAACTCTCTATGGGCCCAACTTGTTCTTTTTTTTGTTTTTGTTTATTTATTTATTCCGATTAATAGTTAATAACCATGTATTTTAACAACACTGCAGCTTACAGAGAGTTATGATAAAAACTGTGGAGGAAGTCAGGAGTGGCAGGGAACTATGTGAGAGTGGTGCGGGATATGCATGAGGGATGAAATTCAGTAGAAATAAAACAGAATACGTGTCTGTGAATGACAGGGACACGGGTGTAACAGTGAAGATACAAGGAGCAGAGCTAGTGAAGGTAAACAGTCTACAAGCGAGATGAAGAAGACGATGAAGGCAAGGTGGAGTGGATGGAGAAGGAGGCAGCATGACTGGAAAGGCTTATAAAATGTTAATGAGGCCAGGGCAAACAGAGAGTTGGTGCAACGGAGGAGGATACTGAGGATAGGGTGAGATGAAAAAAGACGATCTGCACTGGCAAACCCTAAAGGGAGCAGCTAAAGGAAAATAATTGTTTCCCTTTAAGAGTAATATTTTAGAATTGTTTTGTTATTTTCCTCTGAACAGATGATCAAGTGTTTGGCGATGTCATTACCGAAGCACCTCCTGCCCCTTGCTGCTTTCCTCCTTCTGTCCATCTTTCCCACTGAAACTAAAGTGGTGGCATCAGTGGAAGACTGTAAGGAGTTTTTTCTTCAGCAAACTCCACCACACATCCCAGGAATTTTGGAGGGAGGGATCATCCTGGACCAAAACAGATACAAACTGATTCGCCAGACATTAAATGACACCAGAACATTTGTTACGCTGTACGACACCCAGAACAAGATTCCAGTTTTTTCTGCTGCAAAGTACAGAGGGGGAGCTGGAGGCAAGAGGCCCAAGAATAAATGGATGATCGAACCACAGGTATCAGTAGCAATGACACATAATAGTTACCAGTAAAACTAACAATTAATTTTAGACTAAAATAAAATATTATGAGAGTGTAGTCCTACTTACATGCTATAATTGTAGCTAATCAGGAATCTACAGATATTTTCTATTACATTGTGGTATTCAGAATTGTTCAATGTATTTTCCTAAAGACGTCCTTAATCCTACATTAAATGGGTTTGGCTAAAATTAGCTTAAATTGTGTCAATCCAAGTTTGCTCAGTAAATGAAAACAATCATTATCAGCCAGAAATTATCCGAGGTTTAAGTCCTCTTTTCTTTTCTTTAAATGAAAAAATATTAACTGCGCAGTTAATTTATTTATCAGTAACCATACATTCATCACTATTTTATCCTTTTTACATTTTGACAGCTTGAAAACATACGAGACAAAGGCATTATGAGAAAATCAAACAAAAACATCATCTACAACTACCAGGCTGGAAATGAAGATTTCAAAAACAACCAAGGGTTTGACAGAGGACATTTATTCCCAAACTCATACGGATCCACTCTTATTGAAAAAAGGTCGACTTTTACACTGACTAACATTGTTCCACAAATAGGTCATTTCAACCAGGGAAGCTGGAACAGAATGGAAAACTGTGTCAAATGTGTTTTGAATGAATATTGCCTTAACAACAATGACAAAATAGAAGGCTTTGTAGTTACTGGAGCACTGCCCAGTAATAATAGTCTCAATAACAAGATCAATATTCCTTCAGTGCTCTGGTCAGCATTCTGCTGCTACAGTCACAGGCAGAACAGCTGGCTGGCAAGTGCACACTGGGGCGAGAATGTGGCCGATGGCCCTAAATACCTGCAGACACAGACCTTAACAGAACTCCACAGAACCCTGGGAAGTGAACCATTTCCTCAAACACAATGTCCTCTTCACACCACTGCCACTCACTTGTACTCAGACCTCTCCTCTAACTGCAATTGCTCACCCACATCAAGTACATCTTCTCCTACAACCCCTGCTATCCCTTGAAGTCCAATATCTGTGTCTTCCACTTCTAAAGCTAATGCAGCAGCCCCTCCCAGTGCCAGTACTGGTCTTTCACACTTCTAGTCCTGCATCTGACCATATTACTACCACAGTGTCCCACATCTACCACCAAATATTATACCAATACCATAAAAGCAATTATTCATAAAAAAGCAATTCTTTGCCCTCAGTGAATGAGAAGCAGTACATCTGGGTGAAATACAACTGAAATGTATAAAAACTAGCTTATTTATTCAAATAAAAAATCATTAAGGAAAGTATGCTCAATATAAATGAATGTACAACAATCCAGTAAATGTCATTTGATTAAATTCCATTAAATTTAATTGTACTTATGTGACAAGGTTTCATGGGAAATATATTAAACAAAATTATTGTTATAACAAGTAATTTTCACTCATTGGTACTTGATTCTGATGTATATTTGTCTCATCTTAATTGACAATAAGTGTAAAAATAATTGTTTTTGTGATTTGTTTTGTCTTTAAAATCTTCTGCTTATGATAATTTATTAGCAGTTCCAAAGTAACTTACAGACTGTTCAAGTTTTCTTTCTCATATTTCACAATGAATGCATTAAATCTAAAAATTCAATAAAATAAAAATTATTAACCTCCATGATATTTTTTAATATTTGACATTAAATGTGACAGCAACAATGTGCATGCTGTCTGTCTGTCTGTTGGCTAGCAGTCCTCAGTTTTCAAGATGTCATATTTGATGGGTTTGTAGCATGAACGTATTCGCTGGAACGTTAAGGACAATTTACTACACAGCAAAAGCAAGACACAAGTAGGCAAAGTTCTTTGTGTTACTCGTGCATGAGGGAGACCGGACCGGAGCCAGATGTCGTTCCGCCCACTTGGCCTCCGTCGGACTCTCAGACAGGTTCCCCATAGCACTCCTTTTATTGTGGTACATGAATATGCATAGGTTCATTAACATATGACGTTTCATATAGGTATACATGTGGACAAAGAATACCTTGTTTGTGTGAGGTCAAGATGTGACCCTGTGAAGACTCCCCAAAGCTGGTGCCAGGAGTCTAGCGGTCCATCTGAACAAAAGGCTCTTA